GGAATAAGGCATCAAGATCCCCGGCCTCATGGAGCACAGTTCCAGTGGAGAGGCACACCACAGCCCAGGCATCCCTCATGCAAAGGCTGGCGGCAGTAAGTGCTATTTAAAACGGGAATGGAGTGTGATGCTTGGTAGATACCTGAGTGCAACGTCAGAGAAACAGACATGTGAAGGCCCAGGAGAGAGCACGACAGTTGGGGAGAAGACCAGTGCAATGGCACTGAAGTGGGGAGAGCATGGCTCAGAGAGCAGCAGGGCATTCCAAGTGACCAAAGCCAGAGGCTACAGGGGAGGAGGACAGCAGATGAGTCAGGGGCCGCCAGGGCCAGGCGGGACACAGGGAGGGGAAGCCCCAGCGGGTTTGAGTAGAGAGTGTCTGGAGCTTCACTGCATCGGGGAGAGGATAGGGAGGCTACTGCAATAACGCAGGCCCAGCTGATGGCGGCTTGGCCCAAGGTGGCTAGAGGGGAGGTGATGAGAGGTGGCCAGATGCTGGGTTTATGCTCAAGGTTAGCACCTGTGCAAATTGTCCTTGGACCGCAGGTGGAGGCTGATGGAAAAGAAGGAATCACAGATGACACCTAGGTTTGGGCCTGAGCACCCGAATGAATGAATGGAGGTGCCATTTCCAAGATGGGGACAAACAGAGAGAAAGGTGTGTGTGTGTGTGTGTGTGTGTGTGTGTGTGTGTGTGTGCGCGCTTGTGTGTGTGAGGGGATATGGAGAGTCTGGCCATGGAATCCTGAGGTCCTGATGGCCATCCAAGCGCAGGTGTGGTGGCAGGAGTCACAGACCTGCACCCAGACTGGGTGGGTGGACACAGCTGCTGGCATGACATAATTTGAGAGACTTCCTGAGCCTCTGGACAGGTCAAACGGTGCCCCATGCACCACATGTGATTCCTGCAGGAGACGAGCATCGCCACAGCCTCCGCCCCCAGCCGGCTCCAGAGCCCCATCCCACCAGGGCAGCAGGAGACGGTGCACCGTGGCCCTTCCAGGGACAGTTGGGAGCCAGTGCCTGTCCCGGAGGCCTAAGACCTGGGAGGGGCCGGCAAAGCCAGCCCCTCCAGGCTCCACCCACCCCTCGGCTCTTCTGAAAGCTTTGGAAGAAGCAGCATTGCAAATAGGGAGTATTTTGGGACCAAAATCCGTATTTGTTGAATGAATCCAAATTCCTCCCTGTGGCCTTCAAGCCCTTGAGTGCTGGGGCCCCCACCGCCCTCTGGTCCTCCTTCTCATGTGCCGCCCAGGCCTCCTTTCAGATGCTCAAACCACCGTCACAGCGAAGCCCTACACAGGAGCTGTACTCACTAGAGCAAACACGTGTAGGTACCAGGCACCGTGCTTGTAAGCACATCATGACTTCACGCATCTCAGCTTTGGAACAATCCTAGGAAGTTGGCTCTGTGATTATCCCCTTTTGCAGATGAGGAGACTGAGGTTAAATAGTAAGTGGCAGAGCCGGTCGTCACACCAGGCAGAGGGCTGGCTCCTTAACCAGTGTGTCCCTCCATCTGGAAAGAGGACACATTCCTCCCCCTCCCTTGGGTCCTTGGCCAAGCTCTGCCTGGGAGTGAAGATACCCTCCCTCCGGCTTGGGGCTCCCTCTCTGTCTTTAGGGCTCCATTTGACCATCATGTCCTCCGGGGGCCCTTCGGGACCTCTTCATCCAGGGCAGGATCCCCCGTTACGCTCCGTCAGAGCTTCACCCTCACATCTTCGGGCACTGGCCACAAGCGGTAAGTGGATCCTCGATGGTTTGTGACTGGTTTCTTGTCTGCCTGACCCTACAAACCCCCACGGGGGCAAGTATTTTTCTGCTTCATTCACTACTTTGTCCCCAACACCTGGCACAGTGCCTGGGACGGGCCAGGCCTGTGGGAAACATCTGTGGCAGGAAGGAGGGAGGCAAGGGAGGGCCGCCCAGCCCTGGGACCCACGCGTAGAACCAGACTTCGGCTATGCCAGCAGCTGGGACGTTACCACCCTCCTTTCCCGGGGACTGGCTTCCCTGTGCCGGAGCCAGGCTCCGCTCTCTCTCTTGAAGCACATTTGGGCATCTTTCTCTTCCTTTCCAAGCCTGCTCAGAGGCAAAAGGAAGCTCACCCTTACCAGCACCTAGTGTGGCCTCTCATCACCATTCTGGCCACCCTGAGGGGAGGGCATCACTCAGCCCCATGTTCCAGGTAAGGAAACGAGACTCCAGTAGCTGCCCAAGTTCTCACAGTTCGTGACAGAAGTGGGACCAGAACCTTCTGGTGGCCTTTCCCTTCTCCTCTAGTGTAATAGGAGGTTAATGTGCAGCCATCACTTCCTGCCTCAGTTTTGATGGAGGGGCCAGTACAGCAGGCAGCAGATGGCAAGATGAGCGTGAGATGAATCACAAGTGCCCAGTTTACACAGGAAATTCCGAGAGCCCGTTCCACAACCCACACTCCCTGGCTGACTCTAGCCTGGTCATGTTTCCAGAGACAGCAGGAAACAAACAAAAAGTTACATGGGGTCAAACCCTGTTATCCTGATGGCTCCACTTCTCCCAGTGGCTCAAACCGACAGCCGCACGCTGACAGCAGTCTCAGCCCCTGGGTGGGCTCAGTCTTGGCTGGAAACAGTGCCTGTGCCCTGAGCCCGGGGGGCCATCCCGAGGGCGAGGACCCTCCCTTCAGGGGAGGCCTTCCTCCCCCTCCAAGTCCTTCCCAAGGGGAGCTCATGTGGGAAGAGAACAGAATACAGGGCACAGTGAACCCTCTCAGCAGTGGGAGCTTGACTGAGGCTACGGGCTTTGGGGGACCTGGAGGGGCCAC